CAGAGACTGGGGCACAGAAAAGTCAAGGAACATGTTTCCGGCCACAGAGCAATATGGAGTGAAGTCAGGATTTGGATCTCAAGTCTGTCTGCTTACAAAATACGCTTTCCTTCTTTCCATTCCCCTCATCTGTGCTAGAAGAATTTCTGCCTCCATCATATTTCTTGCCATCTTATTTCCTCCTCTATTTCAGAATTCAACATTGGAACTGATTTCTCACTATGCACTGTAGTTTCATATTTTTGTCTCATAAAAATGTCATACAATGTTGGTGGAAATGTCTGTTTCTTAAACATTTCTTTAACATTATTCTGAATTCTTTTCTATGCCTTAATTCATTTAACCTTCCCAACAACTCTGTGAAGTAGATATTGCTACTACCCCAATTTTATAGATGAGGAACTCTAAAGCACAGAGAGATCAACACTTTTCCCCAAGGTCACACAGCTAGTGAGGAAGGAGTGGAGGTTCAGCCTGAACTCTCAACCCCTGGGCTTAGATGCCTTTTGTCATGGTTACAGTTCCACACGGACTGCAGAGTGAAGGGAAACCACTGTATTTACCAAGTTCACACGTTACAGTCATAGTCAGGTCTCTGTCCTGGGAGATTTCATCAACCGACACGATGAAGTATCATTGGGCCTGATTTTTTTTTCAGCTTCCCCTATCTCAGTTATGTCTGCCTTGACTCTCTTCATTGCTCTCGGCCCAGCCACCCAGGCGACCCAGGCGACCCAGGCACGGCATAAAATACAAGGAGGAACATCAAAATTCTGATTCCTGGACTCTCTCTCCAAGTTCTGACTTCCTTCTGCTCTCTTCAGAGGGCTTCAGGCACGGGCATCCTGCAGTTGCTGATACATTCGGCTTTTACAACCTGGCTCCTTCTTCTCGCCTTACCGCATTTGGGATCAGTCATGTGACCTCACTCCGCTTTCCTTCCTTCCCACGGGGCTGGCCTCTCGGTAGCTAGCTCTTCGCCTCTCCGGGCGGTTCCACTGCAACCCTGGGCCAGCGGAAGGCTCTGTGTCCAGTGCTTACCCAGAACAACTGCCATACCCCAGCATCTGCAATACTCCCCAGCCTAATCTATCTGAGAGGAGCATAAGGAAACGGGCGGCTCATCTGTTCTGACACAAGACTTGGAGAATAGATTTTGTACCTGGAATTTTATTTATTTACATACTCATTTACTTCACCAATATTTCATCTGTATGAAACCTCCAATTTCACTGTGACTCACATCAAACGCTAGCCTCGGTGATTAAGAACGATTTCCACTTTCACATGTTTTTCTTCAATTGCTAATTCTGACAAATGGAAATTGCTGCATATTTATGTGACACATCTCAAGTTCTCTCCCAAAAGAAACTGTTATGTTTAGCTTACATGACCATATGCATATCTCAGAGATATTTCAACATCTGGCCCAACTTTGCAAAGGCTTAGTTTTGCAAGTTACACCGGAAAGAATGTATTTGAACACATAAGGCCATGGATATCTATAAGGAAACCACAACAGTGGGACTGTTAAACTCGTTGCTTAAGTAAACTTTAGGAATGTGACAAATTGCTAATTTCCTATGAAGGATCATAAAATTCCAATGGAGAACTCTGGGTTGGGATAGAGGAGAGAGTAGAAATAGCAGAGGTTCCCTAACCTCAGGGACTCCTGCTGTCTAAATTTTGAATAAAACTATTGATGTCACCTGTTGGCTGAGAAGTCATCACTGTTCTTTACCGCCATTGCTCTTATTCAAAGACTCCATTTCGAGATGTGTCATATAGAGATTGTAGGTCACACTGATATGCGGATGGGAAGAACAAGGCCTTTTACCCCAGGGAAGTTAGAAATATCTAACTGAAATCTAATGCATCAGAAAGACTTTGTCTTCATTATCAGAAAAACAAAGAGATAATGGGGACCATAAAATAATCAGAGAATCCGGGGAAAGCAGTGACAATATCTGGGTACAGCACGGTACAGATCTCTAATCTTAAATATATAATCCTGAACCTATAACATGCCCCTTGCCTAATCTCTCTTTGTCATTTCAGCCTAAAATTCAGATTTCAAATTCCTGGGTAGCTCCTTAATGAAACACTGACTTCTAATGTATTCACAATCTTTGTGAATGCACTTTGTATGCTGTTTTTATACAACAGGAACTAGGGAAATAAGCCTGGAACATCTTGTCATACCAATGGGGAAGAAGTTATGCTATTAAGATCACGTCAAAAGGACTCAGGAGCCAACTTGAAGATGCTCCCCAATGGCCAAAGATAAAATAAATTGCATATCAACAAAGAAAAGGATAAGAAATGCTTGCTTATTACTGTTGCATGATACCAGAAAATTAACTCATCATTTTGAAATCAGTTAAGTAAAAAGTAAGAAGCATTTATGCTGCCTTTTTTTTTTTTTAATAAAAACTGGGTACTACTGGTAACCAATCAATAAATGCTGGGTTTCTCTTTATTTAAAGTATTCCAGCTCATACATGAACAAAAGGTGATGGAAATAGAATATCACCAATTTGGAACTCTTAATGGACTGTTTCTTAGGTTCTTGAGTGGCAACTAACATCACAAAAAGTGACACGGTCAGACAGTATGTGCCTCCTGATGAAAGAACTCAATATCACTTCTAAAGTAGTTGTGCTCCCCCCAAAAAAACAATCTGAATCTCTTCAAGCTGACAAATGTGATCACTAGATTAGAGATAATACGGAGGACAGGGGAACATGATAAACTATACCACAGGTGTGCAAATAGCAAACATCAGACTGTGGGAAATGTGGTAAGACTGACAACACACATCAATACATAAAATTTCAAGGGGGGAAAAAAGAGATGAGGATGGAAGGAGAACCTAAAGATGAAAATTGACATACAGGATATATCAACCAATAGCAAGGCGTGAACCTTATTTAGATTCTGAAATATCCCTAGGTGGATATTTGATAATCAATTCAGGAAGTCTTATTAAGTTTTTAGTGTGACAATGACATTATGGTTATATTTTTAAAAAAGAATTACTTCTCTTTTAGAGACATATGCTAAAATATTTACAGATGAAATGATGTATCTGGGGTTTGCTTCAAATTGATATAGGGTGGAGAAAGTGAATGAGAGCATGCACACAGAATTGCCTTGATATCCTCACTGTTGGGGCTCAATGATGGGGTTGATCACCCTTTTCTATTCTGTGAATGTTCAAAATTCTCCATAACAAAAAGCTACAAACAAAATCAATCAAAGTACATAGGCATTCCTTTGTTTACATTCTACTCTCAAGGTTTAACGAATTTTAAATATTTTTTTAAATATTTTTATTTATTTATTTGACAGAGAGACAGCGAGAGAGGGAACACAAGCAGGGGGAGTGGGAAAGGGAGAAGCAGGCTTCCCGCTGAGCCGGGAGCCCGATGTGGGGCTCGATCCCAGGACCCTGGGATCATGACCCAGGCCAAAGGCAGACACCTAATGACTGAGCCACCCAGGCGCCCCCAATTTTAAATATTTCAAGCGAAGAAATTTATCAGGACTAACTTTAAAAAACTGGCATATATTCATGACCTATACTTAATATTTGCAAAAGCAGCCTGTTTTTCTAGGGAAAAGAGGAAGTAAAGGGACAGATCTTCTTTATTTTATTTTATTTATTTACATACTCATTTACTTCACCAATATTTCATCTGTACTCATTAGGGCTGCTGACATTGAATGGAAAGTCATTCTGTACAACAAGACTGTATTCCTATAGTTAAACTTAATTAGGTACATCCTTGTTTTAACAGGACAGAAGTTTACCAACATAGAGATACCAGCTGCCTGGTTAAGGTAACCAGGTAAAAAACAAAACCAGAACTCTCTCCTGCCCATTCTGCAAAAGCCATTTCTTTTTTTTTTTAAAGATTTTATTTATTTATTTATTTGACAGAGAGAGAGACAGCCCACAGCCGAGAGCAGGAACACAAGCAGGGGGAGTGGGAGAGGGAGAAGCAGGCTTCCCGCCGAGCAGGGAGCCCGATGTGGGGCTCGATCCCAGGACCCTGGGACCATGACCTGAGCCCAAGACAGATGCTTAACGACTGAGCCACCCAGGCGCCCCCAGGAGCCATTTTTTAAATCCAGCATACAAAATGATTTTTTCATTTAAGGACTTTGGGCTATTTCTACTGATTTACTTCTGAACAATCTTTAATTGCACCCTATATTACTGAAAATAATGTCAATTGTCCAACATCCCAGCCTGCCTTTTACCTTTTGCCTTCCATATCTTATTTTTCCATTTTCTAATATTTAATGCTACTTATCAATTTATTTACTGTCTTATGTCAATAGGCTTTTCAAAAAACCCATACGACCTGCTAAAATACCAACCCTGTTGATTAAGAGGTGGGGTGATGGCACATCAAAATAAGTAACTTTTTAAACCTAGTTTACTAAGTTTCATTTTTCCATGATTAAATAATTGTATTGTTTCCCTCTCAAGTTTTTTATGACCCACTGTTTCTTCTTTGGGTCTCTGAAAATGATCCTTTCCTCATCTTTCTCATCTGACACCCCACCATTCACCTGTTTCAGACCCAGATGTAAAGATTAGGATTCAGGGGCTGGGCTCCGGTGGAATCAGACCAAATTTTTCCCACAAAGTCCTTAAACTAGGGAGGCCTGCATGATATACAACTAAGAATAGTTGTCCTTTAATTAAGGGGTATTTTTTTCCCTCTGTGATTGTTTTGCAACAATATCAAAACATTTATGAAATGTTTATCCTCACAGATCCTGAAGTCCACTTTCTTGAGTCATTGGCTCATTTTCAATTACTGACATAACCAAAAAAAGAACAAACAAATCCAAACAAGTAAATGGAAAATACATTTTCCTCCTCCTCCTATTTCTCTAGTGCAGAGTCTGTTCTCGTTTATGGTATTTGTATCAAGGTCCCCTTTCTTGCCTAAAATTGATAATTAGAAAAAAAACAAAACACTTACCCAGAACAAGAAGTTGAAGATAAACATAGAATATTTTATACAGCCACTCACACCTGCCATGTCAGAAAAAGATCAGGAATCCAAATGCCGTGAATGGAACTGTTCCTTGTAAGACTGTCCTGCAATATTCTCTGGAGTAATTTGCCTGCAGAGATTTCTGTGCCCAAGGCTTCGGAGCAGAAATTGAAAGCAAAGGAGGGGTAGAGGGGAATAATCCAGTTATTAAAGTGGATAAAAAATTAACCACACATTTAAATATCACAAGGGCTATCACTAGGCGAGTATGTTCTTTTGCTTGTCATGGCTCCTGGGGCACTGGGCCAGGATATTTATGATCCTTTCTTAAAAACTGCCTCCTCTAAAGTAAACAGATATCAAGTTAAGGAGTGGCGCTGGATCGGAGAGAGAGTGGCACAGCGATACTGGGTTGTTGGATTTCAGAAACCACAACTTGACTTCCCTGCCCTCCGTTTCCACTATGGGAAAGCAAGACTGTTTTGCTCTGAGATAAAGGGACATTGTGTCTCAATGCAAAATGAGTTGTCAACAATGCAAAATTTCTCCCAGGGGCAATAAAATGCGTTTAGAAATGTGTAAAATCTGAAGGCTTACTCCCTGTCACCTTTCATCCTGAACCCCAGAGTAGTGGGAACCACCATGACATGGACCTGCCTTCCAAAGCTTCTAAATTTATTTCAAAATAAGTCCACGAAGCTGCTATGAATACAGCATAGATAGGGGAAGTGAGGAGTGAGAGGCTGCCCTGCCTATTACAAGACCATTCAGCGTTTATCTTTATTTCTTTACAGTGTAAAGGGGAAAAACATAAAATTCTCAGGAGCCACTCTCTGACGGCCTCATTGTGTTCATTTTATAATGTGTAGCCATGTTGATAGCTCGTTTATTGATAAGGCGGGCACGGAACTTCCCTTCCCCTGATAAGTTACATCCAGCAACAGCTCCTCTCCACCAATTCAGTTTCTGGATTCCTGGTCCTCTTAGACAAAAAATTCAAAATGAGAAGGTGGTCATAGTTCAGTGACCATAGATTGTACAATTTGTTTCTAGTGCTAATAGAAGGCAGCTGTGGCAGGTAAAAGGCAAAATTCTCTGACCTAATCAGGGAGGTGTGGACTGCTTTTGTATAAACAATTTGGCTTATGCTAGTTTCTACATCCTGTGTCTAAAAGAGAGTTCTTTTCTCCCTAAAGAAAAGAACCCTATACTTCAAAATGTGGTTGGGGAAAATAATTCTTTAAAATCTTTGTTAAGTTCTATACAATAAGCAAGCGTGGACCTCTAAGAAACTGAGTCAGTTAAAAGAATATTTTTCTACTTTTCACTGACATACAAAGGTGCTCTTGAAACAATCCCACTCTCTGAGTATAAACACAATGTATTTTTATTGTATTGGCATCAATCATATTTAGTGTGAAGGCCAAATTTAGGTTTAGTGCAAAAATAATGGCTTAATATTTAAATAATGAAAATTGTTGGTGTTCTATGTTGTTTCCTCTAGAAAATGGAAATAATCTCACAAACTTCTACTGAGATATTAATGTGGATAGGATTATCCAAAGCTGAAAGAATAAAGTGGTTTTGATTGAGTGAAAAACCAAATGGATTTGAAGTCCTAGAAATGATTATCAGTTAGAGGTAAAAATCAAAAGAAATATATAGATAAAAATGCTGTTTTGTGGACAAGAATGTATCGAGTACTTACCAAATTTCAGTTTAGAATACATTTTTTTAAAAAAAATATGGTATTTAGTTAAATCGTTAAGGAACCCTGAAACACAAAAATCAATGGATGGGTTTTATAGAAAAATTCCTTTTCATAGAAGATTTCACAGTCCAATTCGAAATCAATATGAAACAGTTCACTCCTCTGAATTCCTATCCCAGTAAATTTTATAATCACACAACATTTACCCAAGCTAATAATGTGGAGTCCCTTTGTATTCCTCTTTCTTTCCTGCCCGGTATCCAGTCACTTCTCACAATCCGCTGAGCTCCTAAATTTCCTTCAAATCTGGTTCCTCCATCTCTCGTTTAACTACTGTCATTATCCAACCTGTTATCATCTCTCATTCCACCAGAATCTTAATTAGTTTCCCTGCCAGTCTCTTCCCCCTCCATCTGCCTTAACACTCCAGGATTTTCTTTTTCGTTCCATAATTCTCTTCACAAATACTTATCGACTATGTAATTCCCCTGATTAAAAAACCAATCTAAGGATGGTTTCCTATCACCTACAGGATACGTTCCAGACTTCTTAGAATGACACTGATAGCACAGCGTAGGCAAGCCTCTACCCACCTCCCAGAACTTTCTCCCATTCCTCTCTCCCTGGGCGGCCTCTACTCCTAGGCTCCATATGCATGAGATTGATTCACAGGACCAGAATACATCCTGGGATTTTATGACTCTGTGCCGTGTCAGAGTTCTAGGGAACTACCAACATGTTACCCTTCGCCCCTCTCAAAAGATCAATTACCAAATAAGGAAAAATAGTTTCTTTATTTCAGGATTTGTCAGAATCCTAAACCGCTGATATTCTATTCTAAATACATAGCAATTCCCAAATGAATGTGACCCCAGAAAGTATTTTTGAAAGACAGATCCTTGAACCAGTGTTACAGCACTTACTTATAGAAAGGCTGATCTAGACAAACATCCACATTTTACACATAAAAAAAAAAAAGTGAAGCCCAAAGAGATTGAGTAGCCCAAGTCCACAAAACTGGCTAATGGCAGAACTCTTTAGCTCTAGACAGGAGGTCTCATGATGATCAGATCAGTATTCTGTCCACTTGCACCAACTATGTCTTGAGTTATGTAATATGATTATGAATCAGTTACCACCTTAGATCTTGAGAAGTTGTTCTATATCAGGTATTTAACAGTGGGGGGAGGCAGGGCAGAGGTAGGGAGGGGCTGGAGAGTGTCAGTAATATATCTTAGACCCAGAGAAATGCCAGGCCAGGAATGAGAGGCAATGGAGGGTAGGCTATCACAAGAAATGACAACTGAAGAAAAGAGCTGAAGAAAAGTCTAATAAATCAGATAACGTTTTCCTAATGCTGCCATTGTGCCAATTGTTGTCACTCATAGTAAATGCACAGGGTAACTAACACTAGATGAGGATTCAAATCCAGTTAATCATGAAAATACTCTACAAGGCGGTCATAGTAAACTAGGTTTTGATAGCAATATGGGGACACTGGCAGGGAGAAAAGAGAGAGGGATTCCTTGTGTTCAGAGTAGGAAAAAAGGCATGAATAAAACCATCAGGTACCCTCTATAAAATGCAGCATTTTCTCTAGGTCATCAAGCAAATCAGGCATACATTTGGGACTTGAACGAGAAAGCAGACATAGAAAGGAGGTTCATTTTCACCATGATATCATGTTTCCCTCTACAAGATATACGCAATAATTCATTCAACAAATGTATTGAATGCATACAATATTCTAGGCACTGTCCTATATAGATGCTGGAGATACAGCAGTTTCCAAAACAAGATAAAAATCCAGTCCTCATGGGAAATTGTATACAATATACATACAGATATATTGGGTAACTAGATTTTGGAAACAAAAATATAAAGAGGAAGTTATCTTCCCACTACAATGTGAATATAAACAGATGCTCTTTATTATTATTTAAAGATAAATTTGATAGCATATTCAGATAACTTGCCTCTTAGTCATTCATTCAACAAATACTTATTGAACACCTACTATATTCTGAGCCCTGGGGATATGGCAATGAACACACAGAAAATGCTCCTGATCTCCTGAAGTTTGCACTCCAGCAAGGGAGATGACTTCCCCTTTGTATTTTTGTTTCCAAAATCTAGTTACCCAATATATTTGTCATTGGAGTAGGTACTGAAAAATCAAGTCATGTGTTTTGTTTTATTTTAAAGATTTTATTTATTTATTTATTTATTTGAGAGAGAGAGCAGAGCGAGAGAGAGAGCACATGCATGGTGGCCAGGGGCGGTGGGCGGGGGGAGGAGGCAGAGGGAGAGGGAGAAGCAGACTCCCCACTGAGCAGGGAGCCCCACACGGGATTCGATCCCAGGACCCTGGGATCATGACCTGTGACCTGAGCCAAAGGCAGACACTTAACCGACTGAGCCACCCAGGTGCCCCTCATCATGTGTTTTAGAGAAAAGATTTATGCTATTTTATCTTATATATTCTCCCATTATCACTGTCACTACACTCTAAGGGTTTTTTAATGGCATTATGGATATTCATTTCCTCAAAGGCTGATAGCAGTAGCAAGAAAAATGATGTTGAAGTTTCTCTTCCTTATGACCACTTAGGTGTGGGTGTAAGTACATGAAGACAAGAGGTCATACATTTTAAGCAATTATGTGAAGAGAAAGTTCTGGTACTCTTTAGCATTTCTCATTTTGAAAACCCTTTTTTCTTATTTTCCGAAAATGGAGGTTGCTCATTTACAGGTTTTATGATTCCTTTTACAGGAGCAAAGCCTTGGCTCTTGTCCTCTCGTCCAGTTCCAGCATTCCCAAGACCAACATTTTTCTTCTGCTTTCATTTGAGCATAATGCTCTATGCTTCCTATCCCGTGTGCTTACGGAGCCTAGCTCATAAAAACCTCTTGCATGTTCCCACTGGGGATGGGAAGCATCTGGTGTGAGAATGATCTGTCTCCTTCCCTTGCAGGACATTTTGAAACAATGATACCTATTTATAGCATTAATTCCAGCTCAGAAATAAAGTGTGACTTGGAATTGTCTTCCTGAAGTAGCAAGACAGTGCTCATGAACAATGGATATCCAGTATTCTTCCTCTCTTACAGATATTTTTACTCTAAAATGGTCATGATTTGTACCTAGACATAAAGTCACTAACCATATAGGTTACAAAAATAAAAATATGAAAATATGCATCAGAAAATAGACTTTAGGTCACTAAAATCAATTTTTTAAAAAGATTGATTTATTTATTTGAGAGAGAGAGAGAATGTGAGCAGGGGGAGGGGCAGAGAGAGAGGGAGAGAGAGAGAGAATCCTCAAGCAGACTCCCCACTGAGCGCGGAGCCCGATACAGGGCTTGATCCCAGGACCCCGAGATCATGCCCTGAGCCAAAATCAAGAGTCGGACGTTTAACCAACTGAGTTCCCCAGGCGCCACACCAAAATCTACTTTTAAGTGTTTATTAGTGAAGACTGAGGCAAAATGGTACAGTGATTAAAAAATGCAGCTTTTGACCATGATGGATTAGAGATGCCATGAATTCTTGTTAGACCTCACTGCAGTGTTTTTACTTCTTTCATGCTTGGAGCAAGATGAAAACAGGCCAGCAGCTGGGTGGGGTCCAGGGTCAGGTCCTTGGCTGGGCAGCCCCTGAAGCTCAGCTTTTCCAACCTTTCCTGAAATGATCTACTTCTTAGGACACTTTAGATGATCTCAC